GTTTTTTCACATATTACAGAGCACCACTCCAAAAGTTTTCTTTCTAAGAGGGAGGAAAATGTGGACAGAGGTTTTAAAATTCTGATCAGTATTATCGACACTGCTTCTTATTCTAACTGTAACAGTTGCCCAAATATGAAATTGGTGGGTCAGGAAAGATGAGCACAACACTGGAAAAAGACAACTCAAAGGCGTACAAACAGAATGGACCGGGTGCAGCCTAGAAGTACAGGAGCATTACGCCAAATCCTGACCTAAGCCAATACATGTTAACAAGTGCTACTCATGGAGTTACTGGAATCCTGATCTCCACTATCCACTTGGAGATTAAATATTGCAAGGATTTGCTGTGAAAGAACAAAGATTTTTTTTTTTGGTGCTTCTGGCAGAACTGCAGTCCAAGAACTGGGCCTCACTGCACTCGAGCCATTAGACACAGCCAGACATCTGAAGAGTTGGGCAAGGCTATGGTCTGTATAAAAGGACTGCAGGCTACCTCTCTCCAAAACTTCTCACGTTTGTCATCTAGGTGAGATTACAAGTATCTTTACGTGATGTTTTAAGCATATAACTAAGAATATAGAGTTAGTCCTTACTGACTCATATGCACAAGGACCCAAACAATTGGAATTTTGTATTTTCAAGTTTCAGTATGAAAGTTTCTGCTAAAGGTAGAAACTGGGTTTTTTTATGATGACCTGAAATAGAATTAAATGTTGTATACTATTCAGTTTAAAACTGATCTGGAGCATTTTTAATGTATCAACATTAGCTTCCTCACCTCCCCAAGAGGAATGTGTTTGTTAATTATCCTCACGGATCAAAAGGTCATATTGGATGAAAATTCTTTTTGAAAAGGAATATTTAATCTAGCAGACAAAAAAATTTCACCATCTGCTTACCTAAAGTTGGAGAAAATATGCAAAGTAAATGCAATGTATTTAAATTGTAAGGATATGATATTTGGGGGAATCCAATTGTGCAGAACAGTTTTTTACAGTGGGGATTCTTTCTGTATCAAGACCTGAACATGGCACCAGTATTTTTGCTCCACTGCCTTTTATGGTCCTTCATTAAGACTGAGTCCAGAGGAAATGGCACAAGTTTCTGAAGCTCTGAAGTAAAGTTCATTGTCAACGTTTGATAGCTCACCTGAGCAGTCCAGTAATTCAGATTGGTCATGTCAGCAAATCATAGGGGAGAAAAACAAACTCTGAATTCACTTATCACTAGCACATGACTATAAAAAAAGTGTTTCGAGTATAAAAAAAGTGTTTCGAGTATGAAACACACCCACGAGTCCTGACAGTTGAAGTCGCTAAGCCACTACCCATCATAGCCGAGAAGTAGGGGCAGCCCAGTGAAGTTCCCACTGACTGGAAATGGGGAAACACAACCCCCCTTTTTAAAAAGGGGAAAAAGGAAGACCCAAAGAACCACAGGCCAGTCAGTCTCACCTCTGTGCCTGGCAAGATCATGGAGCAGATGCTGAAGGATATTATGCTAGGGGCACATGGAAAACACAGTGATTGGTGACAGCCAATGTGGCTTCACTATGGGCAAATGATGCCTGACGTTTGGTGGCTTTCTGTGATGAGGCTACAGCTTCGGTGGGTAAGGAAAGATCAGCTGATGTCACCTACCTGGACTTTTGCAAAGAATGTGACACTGTCCCACATGACATCCTTGTCTCCAAAGCAGAGAGACATGGATTTGACGGATGGATCACCTGGTGAATAAGGAACTCCCCGGACAGTCGCGCTCAAGAGTTGTGGTAAATGGTTCAATGTCTAACTGGAGACAAGTGGCGAGTGGCGTTCCTCAGGGCTCGGTATTGGAACCAGTGCTGTTCAACCTGGGGACATGGACAGTGGGATCGAGTGCATCCCCAGCAAGTTCGCTGACAACACCAAGCTGGGTGGTTCGGTCAACAGGCCGGAGGGAAGGGATGCCATCCAGAGGGACCCTGACAAGCTTGAGAGGTGGGCCTGTGCTAATCTCATGAAGTTCAACAAGGGCAAGTGCAAGCACGTGGGTTGGGGCAAACACAAATACAGACTGGGCAGCAGGTGGATTGAGAGCAGCCCTGCAGAAGACTTACTTGGAGGTGTCAGTGGATGAAAAACTGAGTATGAGTCAACAATGTGCACTTACAGCCCAGCAGGGCAACTGCACCCTGGGCTACATCAAAAGAAGTGGGACCAGTAGATCGAGAGAGGTGATTCTGCTGCTCTGCTCTGGTGAGGCCTGACCTGCATTACTGTGTGCAGCTCTGGGATCCTCAACAAAACATGCTCAAGCGGGTCCAGAGGAGGCCACAAAGATGATTCGGGGGCTGCAGCACCTCCCCTACGAGGACAGGCTGAGAGAGTTGGGTCTGTTCAGCCTGGAAAAGAGAAGGTTCCAGAGAGACCCTGAAGCAGCTTTCCAGGACTTAAAAGGAACTACAGGAAAGCGGGGGAGGGACTCTTGATCGGGGAGTGTAGTGATAGGACAAGGACTAACGGTTTCAAACTGAAAGAGGGTAGATTTGGATTAGATATTAGGAAGAAATTATTTTCTGTGAGGGTGGTGAGACACTGGCACAGGTTGCCCACAGAAGCTGTGGATGTCTCATCCCTGCAAGTGTTCAAGGCCAGGCTGGAGGGGGCTTTGAGCAACCTGGTCCAACGGGAGGTGTCCCTGCCTTGCAGGGGTGTTGGAACAAGATGATCTTTACAGTCCCTTCCAAACTAAACCATTCTGTGATTCTATGTTACTGATGAGTGATGGAGGGGTAAGCTGTGCCAGCGGGCACAGGAGCAGCACAGCACGTGAGTATGATAGTCCTTTAACCAGAGGATCAGCACAGGCAGGCAACAGGCAAAGCCATTCAGGGAGCCAGGTGCCGGGCCAGTGTCTGATTCCACTGTGATTTGTCCTAGAAGAGCTGAAGTACAAATGCAGAGCATCCACAGAAGACTGCAGTTCTTGCCAACATACGAAAGCTGCCAGCAAGTCTAAAAGCTCTGTATCGATTGCTGTCAGTTCACTTGGGGATGCCATTTTCAGAACATCGATAATGTTCAAGAAGCAAAGGACTGCTAAGAAGATCCCGCTCCAGCCTACTTACCTAAAGGGATGCTCTACAGAGTACGTAAGGTCCTGTCAACGTGTATGTTCCAGTGAATACTGAGTGCAGAAAGCTGTGATAATGGTGAATTAACTAGTGAAGCCCACCAAAAACAGATGCAGGAAACTCCTACAACTTTAACCAAGGCTCGCTACTTTTTAAAGACAGTAACCTGTAGTTCAGAAGTATTTATGAATCTGTTGGAAATTCCAGGGCGTTACCTGTGTAAAGGAAATGTGGTTAGATCATCACAATAGCTTACACTATGGCTAGAAACTTCAAAAAGGAAAGCTTTGTTGATGTTTTGAAGGTCCTACCTGATTTAGAGACATTTATAGTCAAATCATCCCTCGGATAATAGCGAGAAAACCCTCACTTGAAGTCCTGCAGTATGGCAGGATCAAGTATAGCCCAGTCCCGAGGGAATGATCATCTCATTTGTTTACCAAAAGCTACTGAGAACGATGTTCCATTGCTTCAAGGTAAGGCAGATCTTGCACTCTAAAGACTCCAGGAGCTTTTAAACTGTGATTAAAATGCATTTGGTAGAAGTCAATTCTTAATCTGCATAATCTTTAACTAGAGTAAGTATTCATTAAAAACTGAAGTTAAATAAAGACAGCAAGTCGGAATTTAACACCTAAGCTCAGATTTGACACCGAAGAACAGATTGTAACTGAGCACCATATCAATTTGACAGCAAAAGTAAGGCAAAGAAACACAAACAGCTTTATATATACAACGTATCACATAAGTGATGTGAAACAGGAATTTCCAGGGGCTATGAACACCTCCAAATGTCCTTTCATTTCAACAGGGATTGTGCACACTTTTAATAAATTACAGATGCCATGCAAACACCTATATCCAAAAGTTCTTCATTTGAAATTATCTTCCCCTCACCTCCCAAACAGTAACAAGAGCTTCTGTTTCCCCAAATTTAGCCAAGCTTCCTTATATACAAAAACCATGAAGTAGTACCAAAGGAATACAGAGTTTTAAGCGCTGAAAGAGTAATCATTTTCTTAAGAAACTTGGAGATGTGATACAAAAGAAACAAGATTGAGTCCACATCTAAAATTACACGTTGATGTTATGTCTAACTATTTATATTAAAGTCACAGATTACATCTAGGATGTAATCAAGTTAAAAAAAAAAGTCTCAAGAAAGCTTTACGAAGAAAACAAAACTAAATTTGGTGATGTTGAACAAACTTTATAGCTTTAGCTACTGTGAAAATATTACTTGAGTTGAAATGCATTCAGAATTTCAGATTCCTGAATTGTAAGTTTCAAACCCAGCTATTCTCTGAAATGAAGTATTACCCCTAATATCAAAGAAAAAAAAAAATCCCTTCTCCACCTTTTTTCTTTCCTTTTTTTTTTTTCTTTTTTTTTTTAAGTAAAGGAAGGATGCAAAGTGCTCCCAAAACGAAAAGGTTACTAACAGGAAAAAAGTACACTCCTTTCTTCCTTTGTGACTATACTGTATTTTAAGCAAGACTGTGACTAAATTCAGAGAATGCTCGATGTTTTAATTGCATTACATGTTGTCACATTTATCACTGACAAGTCTGATGCCATCGATCTTCACACCATGAGATGGGAAAGCAGTTCTTCAGTTGCGCTCAGATTGTTCCTTTGCACGCACCACAGTATAATTGCATTTACCCTGGAATCCAGTGAGAACTGATTCTGACCTTCCATGTTTCCCTGAAAAAGCTTTTCTACACTTGTATAAAAACCAACAGTCACATACAATGCAGAGCTCTTCAGCTCTTGACCATAAAAGGCAGGTCTTCTTTAAATTGATAGCTTAATAGTAATGCTAAACACAGCTTTTTGCCACATTTCTTGCTTGTAATTCAACGTAACGCTTCTCGAGACCTCAGTCATCATCTTGCTCATTTCTTTTCTGTCAATGGAACAGGAGAGTTCATAACGTTAGGACACAGTTATCTGAAGTAAGAGCACCAATAAATCATGACAAGTGCCTCCAGATACAATGGCTATTAGATAACGGCTGCATTTCTAAGCCATTTTTTGAATGGTAAAACATAATGTTTCCAGTAAATAGAACAGAGCAGCACCAACCCTCTCCCCTGTCCCGAACTCTAAGATTTTCTTTTGGGAAAAGAGCAAGATTTGCCCCGTGTGTTAACCAACAGAACAGACAAGAACCAGAAAACGGGATGGTGGTGGCAGAAGTCAGTGGTCAAGATGAAGACAACCTGCCTTCCCTTCCCTAGCTTAGAAAGATGTCATGTTTCCATGTCACTATTCATCAAACGAACAAAGAAACTGCACTGAAAAAGAACAAGTGTTTAAGGTTTTTTCCTAATACACTTACATTCTAACTTCTAAAGAAGTTCTTAAAGGCATTAGCTTCACTCATTACATTTTGATTTACACTACATTAGTATTTACATTTAAATAAGAAAGAAAACAACTAAGACCTTCAGTAAGATTCGTCAAACTACATCCTTCGCTTCCCTTACAGATAAATTAACTAACTGAAGGGACATCACTATAAAAGTTTGCTCTTCACTACATCAATAAAACAAAATTTTAAAAAATTAACCCAACAAAACACCGCATGATGGCTTCATACATTACTTTTTCTGTAATTACTACAAAGCCACCATTCTGAGCACTTGGATGTTGCCATTTCACAAAGATGGAAGGTCACAATTTTTGTTCACTGTTTCTTACCAGTTTAAGAAAGTCAATTAGTTTGTGAACATCTTCTCCTGTAGAAAGATCCACAAAATCTTTTGGCAGCCGATAACTCAGGTATGGACTAGGCTGGACAGTAACTTTACTGTTCGTACAGCGGAAAACTGGATAGTCCTTTGGAAAAGATATTGAGTAAGACAAGAACAATGTGAATAAAGCTGGTCATGGATTTTGAACGTCTCTGTGACATCGTTTAAGTCACTTAGCCAAGGAGTTTACTGGCATTCATTCAACTAAACATGCGCTTTCTAAAATCTGCTGTTTTCTTATTAAAAACTGACCAATTAATAGCATAAGCTAAAATGTTTATTAGTCAAATAAGGAGATTCATTCCCTCACTGTAAAGTTTCTATAATGTATCAATTATTAATGCATTTAATATACATATGCTTACAACAGTGCTGTAATAAAGGAGCTATAAGGGACTCTGGGCAAGAGTATCTACAGAAACACGTGGGTAAAGAAAATCTTTATGACAGAATCCTTGAAGTTCACAGGTCTTCACGGGTTCCTTGTTTAAACACATTTGCAAATATAACCTTACTGAAATTGTAATCTAAGCTTTCCAACCAATTTACTCACTGAAGGAGAAAAATACCTCTTTCAAAATAGCTCTAATCATTCAATTGCAGCAACAGTTTGGGGTAATTTGATACAGGTTTCAGCCCAACACACTGCCATGCAAAAGAATTGCCTGCTATGCAGCAATAAGCTCATTTTAAGGACAGAAGTTCAGTAACTTCACATCATGTTCTGTGATCAGTGGAAGCTCAGGCATGAAGACAAATCATTCTACTTTTCATCCATCCAGGCTCACACCAGGGGAAACTGTGTTTTTCTCATCTGGCACTGAGAAAAAGAAATCCTCAAAAGAAAACTCAGGTGGCCGATGAACGGTTCAAGAATTGGGAGCATGTTATAATAAAGAAATAAAGTGTTTAGCAGGAAGATTCATTGACTGATTTTTTGTATAGCAACAGCCACACGGTGAGACTAAGAGAAAACAGCACGAATGAGAGCAGCCAGAGAGGTGTATTTCCCTTTCAGTGGGTTATGAAAATGGTGATAGACCTAAACCAAAGCTCAAACATTAAAACCAGCTCAATAAAGCGTGTCATTTCAATTCCCTCAAATGCAACTGAACAGCGAGAAAATAAAGAAAAGCCCATGCTGCCTGACTAGCCATCTCTCAGACAACTGCCAACCATTTCCCAAAACCAAGTAACACGCCGCTTCCCATCTTCTATCCAGCTGCTCAAGCACTCACTCAGATGTGAGGACTGGTCTCAAGCATGCAGTGAGAAAAAAGCCAGAGTACAAATAAAAGAAGACTATTCCTTCCTCTTGGTATTAACGGGAAGTTATTTGTTTTCTTGGAGGCAATGCAGCTTGGAAAAGTGATAGAAAAGCCCCGCTCTGCAAGTCCAGGGAGTTCAACCAGAGGACATGGCTTCCCTGAGGGTATTCAAGATGAGGAAGAGACAGAAGTTAAGCTTCTTTTTGCCTCCCGCAAATATAAATCTGGAGCTCTGGAAAGCTGCATGACAGATAACAGGAACTAAGCAGAATTTTAAGTGATTAAATAGAAAAGTAACAGATTTTAATGAAAAGAGCACACCAAAACTGTGTAAAAACAAGTTTCAGGGCATTTTCTTCCCAGTGTGGTCAAAGCTATGATATGGGCTGGTACCATTTGAACTAAAAATTCCCTTGCAGGCATCTAAACCTAGCATGCGATACTTCGTAACTACTGTCTAATAAGGTAGTTTCTACTTACAAAGAGCTTATGTTTCACGAGTTAAGGATGTACATTTACTTCAATGGGATGTGCACCACAATTTGATTGTAAGACAGAGAGACAGAGACAGAGAGAAAGAGGCAGGGAGAGAGAATGAAAGAAGGGCTGTACCTGTTCTGTTGCTTCCCCTTCACTCTGGTCTCCTTTCAAGTTTTTTCCAGAGGTCAGTTCTTCCCATGTAAACAAGAGGGAGTCTGTTACTTCACCAAATGGGTTAAAATCTATTAACCAAATCTTACCCTAAAATGGAACAACAGAAGAATTAAAACAAGCCACAGAATTAAAACAAAAGATAAATAAACAAACAAACCCCATGTATATAACTGTAGTATGCTTGGTCTTTAGATAAGATGTCAAAATTGAAATCACTTAATTTTAAACACTGAAATACTCTAACATCCTTTACATTAGACACAGTTTTAAAACATAGAAAGCTACGACTTTTTTTTTTTTTAACAGAAGATCAGACAGAGCTCAAATAAACTAAACTCAGTTCTATGTCTGGTGATTTCAGATGAGACTACAGAAGTTTTGTCTAATTCCCACGGTCTTCCAAGATCCTTGAACAGCATGGAACAAGGAATGGAAAAAAACCACCCAGAAAACCTAACCCAACCACAAAAACCCATAAGACATCAAAACAGGGCTTTTGCTTTCCATCTAAAGTCACCTCAGCACTGCTACACATTCAGCAGTCTACAAGAATTGCTGTTGTTCGTCTCGGAAGGGACTCAAAAACTACAGAACAGGGTCTGCAAAATGCTCGTGGAGATCGTGAAAGCTGAAAGATGCTGCACAGATAGAAATAAATTGAGAATAATTTAAAGACGTTTTTACCATAGTCATTACTAGTAGCCATGACTAGTTTCTCCTGTCTTATCTTTAATACATTTGTTCCAAACAGTTCTGGTAGTACGCACTACGACGTGCCTATCTTAAAACTGACAAATGAGAGACTAACGAGACATATTGAAGGTAACAGAGACGTCTGCAGGAGAGCAAGAAATGATCTGCATTCCTTGAAACCTCTCAAGATACAACCCCCAGCACAGGGCTGTCTTTTCTCACCCAAAAAAGTTCATCCGTTCTAACAGAAGAAAATATTACAATAATTTGTAATGAAACATGACTACAACTGCTAGTAAGGATTTGCAAAGCAAGTATTACATCTGGAAGAAATCAGATCTACCAAAAGTGGAAAGAAGAAGGTTGCTGTAACATAAGCACAGCTAAAGGATTTTATTGTGTTTATTAAAGATCAAATGGAATCGAAAACCAAACCTGAAGACTACATACCTACTAAATAGTTATTTTGCTTTCTCTTTCTTTCCCTTATTCCTGAAGCATCTTCCTTCCTTAAAAGATCTCCCCCATCTTGATACAAACAGCAAATATCTCCAGTGGTTTACACTACGTCCATCTGTTTTCTAACTTGCAAAGACATTTTTGAAGCCTTCAGTCAGAGAGTAAAGTGGAGACTTCCCCCCCCACACCCCTAAGTCACCCCCAGAGGCACTGATGCACAATAGAATAGAAAACACACAGAAACCCAGAAAGCAGAAATGCTCGTGCAGGTTACTCGTGCAGGTGGGGGGAGCCTCAGCCCAGATGGAACCAGTGACTATTGCTTGTGAGCTGGAGCGGAGAAAGCTCCCCGAGCGGCGGGCGTGCGGTTGCACACAGGCTTTCACGGGTCTCTCTCTCACGGGGCAGATCCATGGAGGGGAGCAACAGCGGTACTGAACCCAGATGGCTACAAAAGCAACTGCAGATTGCCGGGATGCAGACCTTACAGGTTTCTTACTTGTGTTGAAAAGGCAAAGAAGCACAAATCTCCATGGCTCGATTGCAACACCTCTGCACTGGTATTGACACCACTGGTGCAGAGAGCAAACAGGGGCAAGCTCTGCTATCATTTTCCATCTCTGTTCCTCTTCAAAAGGCAGTCACATATTCTCATTATAAGTGATGTTTTACTTTTGCTAATGGGGACATCTTGTTAGCTCCAAGGCAGCGGGAGGAGGAATCTGTAATTTCAGATTTATTCTATCACGCTGGAAAAACAAGCTAATGAACCAATTTAATCACAGGCAGAAGCAATGGCTGGCAAAGTTCATTCAACAGTTCAGACAAGCTTTCCTTGCATCAGAAATGTTTATACTTAATAAAGGACTTTTCTATGAAAGGCTTTTCTCAACTCAAACACATGAAACTCAGCTTTTTCACAGGAACTCAAGATTGTTTCTCTAGAAACAAAATGAAAAAAAAATGAAAATTGGGTTTGATACCACCAAAAGCAACACCTGTTTTCTGTGAGCACCCAGCAGTATTTCTCCCTCCCTGCAGACAGCAGTAAACATCATCTACAACACAAACTGTCTCCTTGAGATGGTCTTTAAATCTGCACTGGGCTTTGGTAGCTGCAAATTGAAGAGAAATGAAAAAACAAGCTAAATATCCCTTTTCAGGGTTCATTAAAGAGAGCGTATTTAACTCTGGGTCAGTAACGAAAACTGTCTTAAGATTAAATGCTCTTTGAAGTCTTACATGCAATGTCATGATTTAAATGTAGTTTCAGATGACTTGCACTGTGTTTCTAAAGAGCAGCAGTAAAGCTATTTATCTGCCATCTTCTGGTATTAGTAATCTTTGTCATATGAGAGCAAAGAAACGCATAAACCAGGAAGGCAAAATTGTGCATATCTGGAGGGGAAAAAAAAAGAACAGCCTGAATTACATAAGGGTTTTCTTTTATCATTCTAAAGCATGAACTGATAGATTTACCATATCATGTCAGCTTCACGCTTTGTTTTACTAGAGCATTAAGCAACGTGCTGCTGAAATGAAAGGAAGTGCCTATGACAAAGGCTGTTTAAAGGAAGCTAAAAGATAGATAAAATGCAAACTGAACTGTTACATCTCTCTAACTCCAGCTGCACCTTCATGCACAGAGACAACGCTCTCAAGACAGAGACACAAGCACTAGTTTGCAGGTTAAGAGGAGCAGCTGTGAGCTAGCAGTGGTCTGGAGCCACTCACTGCACTTTTGTCTTACCACAGTGGCTTGTCTTGAACATGGTTACAAGCTGTTAACACCTGGAAGATACACAAAGAGAAACAGCAGAGCTGATTCTCAGGCTTGTCAGCTGTTGCACGACGATTATGAACTGCTGGCAGCAAGCACACAAACAAAAAAAGTGGATCCAAATGAAAACATTCCACCAGTCCTGCGACATAACCGCTTCAGGACCAGGTCTCCAGATCATCCAGTTTGGAAGAATGTAGAGCAGCGTTTCTTCCTTAAAAGACAACTTGCTGGCAAGTCAGGCACTAGCTCAGGTGGGCTCGGTGGGGTGTAATGGGAAAGAAAGGCAGACACAGAAAAGCTTGTCCTCAATCCGGCCACCACTGCTTCTGTGCCACCCTCCAACTCAACGAGCAGGACCTGTGGCAGCGGGTGGGGGCTGCTCTCAGCCACAACCATATCAAAGAACAAGCTTCTGCAAAGCTGAATATTTGGACGCGAAAGAATTTAAAATAAGCAGACACTGGACATTTCTCTCATTCTGTAGGTGAGGTTGCCGTGCAACCAGCCTGGTGAGGAGCACAAGCTCTGGAAATTAATCACACTCAGAAAAACTCAATATTCTTTCGCTGCCTGTAACCCACATACAAGGGGAGTGATGAATAACACAGTTGCAAACCACAGAAGTACGTGTGAAAGGAGGAGGATCTGACATACAAAGGGCTATCTGACAGTTTACAAGGCCTGGGGGCAGAGATCTCTACAAACAGATATATTTTATCTTGACAGCTGAAGAAACACTGCTCATTTGAGGTCACACAGGATAAAACCTTTCACTTAAATAATCTGCCTTCATGCCTCTGCTGTGAGGCAGAGTACCTGTCCTGGCTTCCGGGGCAGGGGGGGAAAAGAAAAAAAAAAAAAACAGAAAAAAAGAAAAAAAAAGCTTAAGGAATGGGTTTTTTTTTTAAGAATCCCCTAATTCTTGTTTTAGTGAGCAAAATATCACCCCGTCTTATTTTTTTTTAAATATCGCAGCCATTGTGGCTGAATGTTCTGATACATTTCCATCAGAAGCACCCAAAGGAAACACTGTGCAGAGGGAACCTTATCAACTGGTTGTGTTTCACTAAAACAATTTAGTGATGTTGCATGACATTGGTTAAATACCTAGCTAAAAAGAAAATTCTTTGTCTGTCAGTGTTTAAGAGGCATTTGGACTTCGTACCATACTTTAATTTTTGGCCAGCCCTGAACTGGTCAGGCAGTTGGATAAGATGATTGTTAAAGGTCTCTTCCAACTGAAATATTCTATTTGAAATTATTTCAGCAAAGACTCTCCATTTCATAACTATAACCAAATTGCTTTCAGTAGATTCACAGAACTGACAGCATTTCAGTTAAAGACAAATCTATGTGCTTCAAGACAGACTACTTCTCTGGAAGATATTTACTAAATAATTACATCACTGGCACAGACATATTTACACCCCTAATCCTATTATTCTCCTACTGTAGACAGTGTCTAACACAGAAAAAGACCTGAGGAATAGAATGATAACATCAAGAAGTTTTTTTCGGTTTTGTTGTCTCTTTTTGTTTGGGGTTGGGTTTTTTGGTGTGTTTTTTTGTGTGTGGTTTTTTTGCCAGGACCACATCTAGAGAGATGAAGCTATCATGTGCTTCTGCTCTGTAGCATTTCTAGAAGTTTCCACAGAATAAACAATTATATCCAACTTGTTGTTCACTTACCCTGCTGTCTCTGTACACATCAAAAACAACTGAAAAGGAGAAAAAAAAAAGTTAATCTTAAATGATATAGAGTTTCACAGAAGACATCTAAATCTGAATAGATACTTGTGTACTCAGCACAATCCACAAAGTCAGTAAAGAAAAACACAAAGTCTAAAGAACCGCGAGCCAGAGTTAGGTTCATTTCCAAGAGGGAGTTGAAACATTTCAAGAACTACTGTTAAGGCACTGAGAGATCGGCTACGGAGTTTTTCCATTTTATGCTGGTTTATTCTGTTGGTTTTATTTTCCTCCGGTGAAGAATATTTGATAAGCTTCTCTCTGGGCTACGAGTTTATCTTTGACATTACTGCTGTTCAGTTTACAGCAGAACGGACATATTCCAAGGAAGGACCCAGACTCCTCTGCGCCAACATATAATAATAAGAGAAAGCTCCTGCCTGATAGAGATTAGGACTTGTGCACATAACAAGACAAACAGGTTTTAAGAACAAAGGGGCTGGTGGGCGTACTGAGGGGGTGGCAGCAAAATGGCAATGTTTGCTGGAACCCCGAGCAAATGCAGCACACCTACTGATCATCAACAGCTCTTTCAAACAGCCCCTTGGCTCCTTGGTGATTGAGGCAAAGCTGCCTCGGGTAGCTCCACTGTCGTCTCTCCCCTCGACGTGATTAAGCGTGAATCTTTGTACAGGCATCTTTCTGTTGGCTTCTGTTCTGCACCGTTAAACAAACCTTTGCCTTCCTATTCAGTTTGGAAACCTGACAGATAAGCATTCAGGCATGACTACATGCAGAAGTTGTACCAGTTTAGCAGGAAGAAGGGCAAAGAAAAGCCAGATTCAGAAAAAGCTCGGACAAATGCTGTATTGTCACTTCCTTCACTAGTCAGAGAGGGAATATTTCAGCCAAGAGATTTCCCAATATGTGTGGGATAGACTAAACTCAGGATATGACTGAAGAACACTTGAGCCTCTGCAGCTACTCAGGAAGCCACCCGTCAGTAACACGGACGTTGAATGATCACATTCATGCATGTAAAGCTACTCAGCAGCTTAAACTAATATTTTATGCAAAGTTAGTTGGGTTGGGGGCAAACCACAATTCACCAGCGTCAAACCCAGTCACGTAACTAGTTTTGACCATAGAGTCTAAAAATCCACATAGCTTTTTTGCACAAGCTCAGTTACGTCAATTTAAAATGTCACTCCGTTATTCGGTGCTCTATTTTCTCGAGAGGACAAGCTAAGAAAGCCATCAGTGCAAAGAGGAGCAGCAACCCTAGATTTCTTCTCCAGCTGTTCAACTGAACTTGTTGCCTACACCGTGTACTTTCATTAGTCATATTTCATTAATTGAAAACTTGCATCTGAGCTTTATTATGAAATGACAACTGTCAGCTTACAGCAAGCCTGCAGCAATCATTGAGGCTAACGGCTTTTAGCAGGATTTACATCCCCGTCAAGACTGATTGTGTGCTGGTGACTGGTTCAGGACACTCACAAACACCCAAAAGAAAAGAAAACTTCAACTGTTCCCTCTTCTTAGGGACACCTCAGAACAGCAGCGTTATGTGCCGGTGAGACTGCAGGGAAACTTTAGCAGCTCAGAATGGAAGCCGGGCCAAGGCTCAAGTCTACAATAAGTATTGACACCTCCACAACTCTATTCTCACTGGGCTCTTATGAAAAGTGTTTAAAGGTTCTAACATCATTTAGAAGTACTTATAAAGCATTCTCCCCGCACCCGTTATCCTACTGCTCTGACTCTGCAATGCTCCAGCTGCTTTGACTCAGCTCATTCACCTGGAGATGCTACCAGACCAACTGGACAAAGCAGAGCAAAGAAACAAGAAGTCAGGAAAAAAGCTGTAATACCTTTCCTTTTAAAAGCAAACAAACAAGCAAATCCATGTTTTTATTGCTGATGATGCATATGCTGCCAGACAGTGGATCAAGGGATACAATGGGCGATGAGAAATAGTGTGGCCAGGAGGACCAAGGGAAGATTGTCCCCCTGAACTCAGCAGTGGTGAGGCTGCAGCTTGAATCCTGTGCTGTTTTGGGCCCCTCACGACAAGAAAGACATTGAGGTGCTGGAGCGTGTCCAGAGAAGAGCAACGAAGCTGGTGAAGGGTCTGGAGAACAAGTCTGATGAGGAGCGGCTGAGGGAGCTGGGGTTGTTCAGCCTGGAGAAGAGGAGGCTGAGGGGAGACATTATTGCCCTCTACAACTACCTGAAAGGAGGTTGTAGCGAGGTGGGGGGGTCAGTTACTTCTCCCACGTAACAAGAGGAAAAGAGGACAAGAGGGAATGGCCTCAAGTTGTACCAGGAGAAGTTTAGACTGGGTATTAGGAAAAAACTTCTTCACACAAAGAGCAGTGCAGCACTGGAACAGGCTGCCCAGGGAAGTGGTGGAGTCACCTTTCCTGGAGGTTATTTAAAAAGACGTGTAGATGAAGTGCTCAAAGACATCGTTTCATGGTGAACTTGGCAGTGTTACGTTAACAGTTGGGCTCAATGAGCTTAAAGGTCTTTTCCAAACGAAACGATTCTATGGTTCTGTGAATGAAAGGTAGTTAAAAAAAACCAGAAAACATTTTCTGTTTGGCATTTCTCTGCACATGGACAAGTCACCAGCCTAAGAACAAAAGGTTAACAAACCTTCAGCCAGGAGGGTCTCCCTGAAACCTCCTTTTCATGGAATGTAACTCAAGTGGCATAGTTTTATGTCCTTTACATAAGACGACACATTCAGACCTTTCAGTTCACCAGGCAGCAGTTTCAGAGCCTCAATCTAGGCATCAATTTCCTAAAATAGTGCCCTGAATTCTTATCTGTCAGTTGATTGCACACCAGCTAAAATTATGTTGGAACACAGAGGAAAATTAGAAGATTGTAATCAGAATGTCAAATCTATATAACTTATCTTACTTCAGAACACTAGGGGCATGGATCTATTAAATTAGTATACTGATTTCCAGGCTACTAGTGTTCTCCAGACAGTGGTCCTTGAGAATTTCTCTGTTCTGAAATAAAGGAACCCTGCAGAGTCAAATTATAAAGAATTTTAATGTGATGTAGACTGGCATTAGAAAGTATCTTTTTCAGAAAGTCAGGGAGAACAGATCTATTTGACTGCTCTGGTGGCTCAGCAAAATAATTAATCACATTCAAGGCTTATCTAAAGGTTGAGTATTCAAAGCTTTATATAAGACAATACAACTGACAGACAATTCTTACACTTCCCTCATCATATTTTTCACCACTCCTGACCACCCATCACAACACAACACTGTTCAACTCACACTAAACCATGTTAGGAAACTGTTTCCAACAGGATTTCCAAAGGACTCCACACTGAAAGAAGACAATAATTTACTTGGGCTGCTTAGATGTATCAAGTACCATAGCCTTTACTCAAGTTTCAGCAGCTAAACTGCTGTGCATTAATATTCTAGGAGAAGTTATTATCATTTCTTTAGTATTACAAATCCTTTCTTCAAGGAATACATGAACAATAGGGCAGCAAACATCTGACAACCTTTTTATAAACAAGTACAGTTCTTATTATTGAATGCCTTCTGTTAGGCATTTCCTACCTTACTTCTAAGGTTTAGAATTTCAGAATTTTTCTTAATTAAAAACAAGTATAAGGGGAAAAAGCTGTAGGGAGAAAAAAAAAAAGTCATTATGATTTCTGAAAGGATCTTTCACTCATTTTTTGTGTTTTCCTGGAAAGTTCCAGTCTATTCCTTCAGGGGTTTTTTTGTTCCCAGTTTTATAGTCATTCCAAAACTACATTGCTCTGCTGGCTCCAGCCGCAAGAGCTGTAAGCTCCTCTCAAGTTAAAAAGAACCAAGCCCTGTGAAAGCAATAGCTTTGAAGAGAGAAATTAATATCCACAGGCTTAAAATATTGGGGATGCCATTATTTAATGTGAATTACCCATTTTTCCACTGATGTCCAGCAGTAAACTGGAATTTAGCTCAACACAACTCAGTGCACTGCAGGGCAAACGAGCCTGGCTCAGCCACCGCCAAGCGGGCAGGAGGACAGGTCTCATTTTCCTGGAGTTTGCCCTGCAAGCCCTTTCAGTTTCAAACCTTCCAGCACCCTGCAAAAAGTATTCAAAGAGGCAGACCCTTCACTTCTAAGTCTTCATAACTATGCATGCACTACGTATTTAAAAACCTTCGTAAACATCCTCCTTCCCTCCCCACCATGGTCCCCTCGATAACTGAAGTTTTAAGATACTTACAGTCTTCATCCAAGAATTTATGCTGTATGTGTTTCTTGAAAAACTCCTGTATTGATCTACAGATCTCCTCATGTTGCTTAGAGATATGATCGTAGTATTGAGTGTAGTCCCTCTGCGATATACCTGTCAATAATTTTAGTTGATTACCAAGCGCTTTAGGAGTGCAAAAAAAGCCAATCCGACAAAATGCAGTTACCAGAGACACGCAGGTCGTAATCTATATTTCAGAAGACAGGGTTCTCCTGAGTTTCCACCATTAGCAGTAACTTACTCTTTAGATCTATTCTCCTATTCTTAAAGCACTTCCATTAGGAATCTCTTCTTGAACAGCTCTGTCCTACATTTTGTGAATCTCATTTTATACGTACGCAGTTTGACCATTTTTAAGAGAATTTCAGAAGGAAATCTTTGCCTGCATTTACGTTTTCAGTTTCTGTCTTTTCCTTTCAGTAATGCTCTCCCTGGTTAATCTGGTCAAAAACTTTTTCTGTTCTGCACATCAAATGTAGAGATCAGAACTTGGAACCATGAAATTAAGACAGCAGAGGCTGAGACTCCACATTAGCAAAGATGATGCATCCAAGCATTTCATAAAGATGCTCATTTAACCGATTTTTTAAGCATAGAATAATGTGTACCTGTCTGAAAAAGCACTACATGTGAAACCTTAAATTCTAAAAATCAACAAGATGGCATGCAGCCTGGTACCTTGTTTCTTTCACCTGCCCTCCCAAAGGCTGTTTTGCATATTTGATGTTAGATAAACTATTGCAGCTCCATCACAAACTCTTAAATTCAGACATTTGTTTGTTTACAAGACAACAGTTTAAGTTGACATCAAGAGAATTATACACTTGCATGCACCTTAAGTGACAGAAGTTCTCATGCCATAAGCCACTGCAATACCCTGCTGGACAAATGTCAAATCCAGACCTGCCCGAGCAACATAGAATCAGCAGTTCATCTATTTTCAGTTGAGCGTGGCGCTAACAACGCTAAGGTCGCGGGTTCGATTCCCGTTCGGTCCCCATGTGTTGCCTGATCTAGTCGAGAGGTGGCATCCCTGGTGGCAGGGAGGCTGGATTAAAATGATCTCTAAGGTCCCTTCCAGCTTAGGCCATTCTATGATTCTATGATTCTATTTAGGGGAAGAAAGAGACAGAATCCACTAAGAAAGATGTATCAGTCATGGCAGTTTGCTATTTTAATCATATATGAAACACAAGCACTAAGTTTTACCTTAAGACAACGGTCAGTATCTACAAAAACGAGCTGTTTAAAAGGTTTATATAAAAGTTTATGATGTCAGTGGAACTCTGAGTTATTAATAACACTGTGAAGCTTAACTCAGGTCTAAAACCAAAAGCCAAGAGATGGTGGCATCTCAGGGGATGCAGATGTGTAACTGGAAAATCATTCACTACACAGTGCAAGTACCACTCCTTAGTTTGACTGACAGGCTTATTAATTTTAAGAGCATGGGAACATATTGTGAAAAATCTTGGAACTGTCTTCAGAAATGCAGCTGGAGTGCTAGCTAAAAAACCCCGTACTGGCAGATCCACTAGACTGCAAAACCTAGTAATGAAACATACAGAGTGTTTAATTAGGCAGCGTACAAATGCTTTGAGGTATTTGAACGTAAATATCACAGAATCATAGAACACGTTGGGTTGGAAGGGACCTCTAAAGGTCATCTAGTCCAACCCCCCTGCAGTGAGCAGGGACATCTTTCACTAGATCAGGTTCCTCAGAGCCTCATCCAGCCTGACCTCGAATGTGTCCAGGGATGGAGCCTCCACCATCTCTCTGGGCAACCTGTGCCAGTGTTTCACCACCCTCACAGTAAAGAACTTCTTC